TAGAGGTGGGTGGCTCCTTTAGCTTGCATGTTATAGCCTAAAAGAACATATGGAAGTCCTTTCTCCCTCATCCGAGCCAAGAAAAAACACAGGAAAACAGAGTGTGTTGTGGTGTACATGACAAGAGGGGGGAAAGCAGACCAAAGGGATGCCCCCACTGTGTGTCTCATACTATCATATGTCTCCAGACTTAATGGGTCTTACTGCTATCAGCACCATCACGGCTCAGCTTCCTGTCAGGGGGAGGCATGCACAAACACAGCAGTCATTTGGCAGGACTCAGGTCACAGGCGGCTACATGCAAGAAGAAGTGACCAAAGGAAACTTTAAAAACAACTTCTAGTTGAGTGTGAAGGATTTAACCACAGGACAAGTCATTAATTAAAAGTGTTTTGGGAATCTGTGCTTTTTTTTTTGTCACTTTACCCACCCAATCACTCACTGGCCTACCAACAGTCATGAGGGTTAGCAGATGTCATTAACCAGAGCCCAGAGGAAAGATGGAACTCGATCTGGATCCCCCTGCCACTTAAGAGTACTGAACGACAGAGGCCTCACGTCCACAGCTGTCCTCACACCTGTTACCATATGCTAGTAAGTAACATCATATTCAGTGGTAGAATATTAAGTGTTCAGCTACCTTCAGTATACTCATCGGACTTATTCTCTAAGTAGTTAGCACTTTTGCTCAACATATCTCACGCTTCTTTTCCATTCCCCTTTTTTTATGTGCTTATGAAGAAACACACATTTCCTGATTTAAAACTGCCATAAACAAAAAGCGAAGTGAAACCTGAGCGACACAGTGTCCACAGTGTGCAGGATTTCCTTCACACTCCATCCTGATAGAGAGATGGTGAGAGGAACTGCTCATGAGCACATATAGAATATTAGTAGAGTAGATAAAAGAATATTTATGACTTAACCCTGACTTAACTGTCTCACAGTTGCAAACATTTGCGTGGAAATTAACAGGTTTCCAGCCAGTTACACACCGCATGCTTCAGTTTCAATTCATGACCACTGTTCCTCTTTGTCGCTGTGGTTTGTTTGTGTCCAGCTTTTGATTCCATGATTATTTAGTTTACATTATTTTGCAGTTTGTTCGACCAATGAACCAAAAACTGAACATTTATATGTTCTATTATGATTTTAATGACACATATTCAGCCTCCTAGTGGCTGAACTTTCGCAACACATCATCTCTCCTTTCTCTCCCATCATTTCCTGTCACCTTTACACCATCCACTATCATAACACAGGCAAAATTCTTTTAAATCATACATATATGAATGTCTGATCTTTTTATAGCTTACCTGGGAACAGACCTAAAATGACCCACCTCTGCATCCATCTCATAGTCTATTTCCATGAGTTCTACTATATGTGCTGTACATGACATTTAAAAAAATCTGTTGTTATATAATATTTATTCAAGCTTGCTAACTCAATATAAACTTGACTTCATATACACACACAGAACTTCCTCACTAAAACTCACAGCAGTTTAAGGAATTACTGTCGGTGTATTTTGCACCATCACTCACTGGCCGTGCAGTTTAATCCTTTACAACCACATATTCCACACAACAGCGTGCTTTGCTACAGTACAGAATCTTCTAACCAGCCTCTCTGCTGGCTCATCGCTGGATTCAGGCTGTGACCTGAGATCCCTACATCCCTCAGCAGCTGAGCTCAGCTCTGCACAGCACAGCAAGTATCCATGATTTTCTCCTGGCTACTAAAAACAAGAGTGTGCTGCAGTCGCTGTTTCGGATAGAGGATTTCGTAGTCATGAAAAAACATGAAAAATCCAATAGAAAGTTATTTTTTGCTGGTTTCAGCTTTTCAAATGTGAGGATTTTCTGCTTTTCTCTCTTTTATATCATTGTAAATTGAATCATTTTAGACATAAAATAATTTGAAGGCGTCACCTTGAGCACTGAGATTTTGTGGTTGGCATTTAATAGACAATACGATTAAATTATCAAAAAACTAACTAGCACATGAATACATAATGAAAGATATGATAAGTTGCAGCTCTACTTTAAACCTTTCAGAAACATTTTGTATGACTGTATCAGCACTGATTCATCAGCATGGCTTAAGAACATAAATTATAAATATTGATCTGACATTTTCTTCTAAGTTTTTTGTAAAAGCTGCAGACGCAAGGACACAGATTTCTGTTTAAAAGTGCTTTAAAAAGAAGATCAACAGGGATTAAAACAGTTTGCTTGTGGGCCATAAAAATAAATGACAATCTGCTTCCTCATCATACACCACCCTAAGTTTGACAAAAACTAATCTCTGCACCCGCTCTGCCCTCATCCACTATCACAATGTGAATAAATCCAAGTGCACCCTTAAACTGCTGTAACATCACATACACAGTGTACAACAATGCAGTCAGTCTGACCTGTTAGCCCTGGAGAATCTTTATAAGCACTCTGCTGCTAATCATAGGAAGCATTAGTGTATTTGTTTTAAATGAGTCGTCCTACAGAGGAGGCATGGTACACAATAGACTTCCATGTATACTTCCTCCACACCTGGCCAGTGTCACAGCAGGAACTATGACCACATCCCTCCTCATTTATAGCATGCTTTAGGAGGGCTGATCAGACCTTGCACACCACAGGAAATGATCATATTAGAAACACAAGATATAGACTCAGCTTCAGCATCCTTCCCTATCAGGAAATTACACTGATAGAATCCAGATTGGTCAACTTAGTGTAGAGTTCAGCATTGTTTCTCCACTTCAGGAGTATTAGTTTGTGTAAATAAATGAAGAAACGAATGAATTCATGATTGATCACATGACAATCACACAGGTTAACCACGTCCCTATGAGAAAGTTGAAGAAAAGTTGGCTGTTTATTATCCTCCAGGCTGCTTTTTTTTTCTTATTCTTCTTCTTCTTCTTCTCCCCGGCACAGAGTGAACTAATCTGTAGCATTAACATTCACAACATGTGGCTGCCTGCTCCACTGTCAGCACAGTCAAGACAAGGGCTCCCTCCCATATCTCTAGGGAGGCACCAGGAGTTCACAATCACTTCTTAACTAAACCTGATACCAAAAGCTCCCAATAGGACATTTGTAGGCTACCTGTTGATTTTCAGAGCGAAAGCCCGTCGGTCTGCGCTGCCCAGAGACGCCATGTGTGGGTCTGAAGTCCAGTTCGGCGGCGCTGGCTCCGGTGTTTTCCTGCGGTGTGGCCGCCTCGCTGTCACCGACTCTCCGCTTCTTCTCCTCGCTACAGCTCAACTGTCATGTCAACACTCATGGTGCTTGTGGCGGCAGCAGCTTTACTGGGTGTAAACTTCCGCATTTGATTTGAGCCATCCCGTGGAGAGAGCGCAAGGCACACACTGGAGGCGCGAGGAGGGTGGGAGGGGACGATGGGACAGGCTGGATGAGGCACGCGCGCTCCCTCGCTGCCGAGATAAGCTTTTCGGTTTTTTTTTACAAGCAGTGTGTGTGTGTGTGTGTGTGTGTGTGTGGCATAACTGAGAGTGAGAGAGAGAGAGAGAGAAACCATGAGTTTCTGTTGAGTAAAAATGAAATACCCATATAGTAGAGGAGAACGGATCCAGTTAAATGAAATACTCAGAATTCATGAATAATGCCTCATTTAAAAAAAATAGCCTACCAACAAAGATGTCCTCTGCTTCCCAGGAGAGGTTATTCTGTGCATGTTCATCTTTGTCTACAGCTGTATCATGATTGTAGGGTGGCCCTGAGAGCTCAACACACTGTAAATTAAAGGTCCAGTGTGTAACATTGAGGAGGATATTTTAGCAGAAATGTAATATAATATGCATAATTTAATTAATGTATAATTTATTATTTTTTTACCTTCCTTAGAATGAGCCTACAGATGCCATGGGTTACCCTCCATGGAGTCAGCCATGTTGAACCGCCATGTTCCTACAGTAGCCCAGAACGGACAAACCAAAACATTGGCTCTAGATGGGGACATTTTTTTCACGTTATGTGGCCACCGTAGTTTCTCCTTTCAGCTTGGAAGGGGAGGGTGAAGTCAAGGGATTGCAATTTGCAGCTACACCTCGAGATGCCGCTAAACCCTACACACTGGACCTTTAAGAAAACACATGCAAATAGACAAAACCCAAGCAAATTAAAACATTAACAACACATGTGCAGCATTTTATTCTGTTTTGTTCTGTATTTATTTGTTTAGGGATGTGTAAGGAGGTTATTTTCTGAAGTGCTAGACCCTTGTGATGTCATCAGGGTTATCCAGTTTTTGAGACTACACATTTTTACTAAATGGGTGAGAGTCAGACCAGATTTACTCATGTACTCTGGTTTAAAGCTGGTAGGACAGGAAATAGCCTTGGTGGAGTTGTCAGTCTAAACTGACCTAACAACATTTTTCGTCAAGTTGAAGATTAAACAGGTTCCTTTAACATACTTAATTGTAAGTTCTCTCATTGTTCCTACACTTACTGCAACCAAGCTGCATCCCTTCTTCTCTGCAGTGAGAAATCAATCCCACCTACTGTTTGAGGTTAACACGGTGACAAATGATCGAGGCTGATTTAAATAGTTTTGATACGTATGCTTCAGTTGTAACATTAATTCTTTCCTGCATTTTATACTGCTTTTCAGGTTGAAAACATATATCACTTTAGAAAATATTTAACTATTTGCACATAAAGAAGGCTTAAAAAATGAGCCACAATCATAAACATTTTTACAGCTGACCATGAGCTTCCATGTTGTGACAAGGACTGACAGAGGCTGTGAGTTTGCACTTACACTTATCTCTCTTCATTCTTTAACAGGACAGCATCTTTCATTGGCCTATGTATATTATTCACCAATGAGCTTGTTTTTTATCTGTTAAATATTACTATAACAAAAATATATACGTGTTAGGGGATAGACACTATATCATGCACAGACCTATAATATTTTGACATCATTATTATGTGTTTTAATGCATTATTACATTGTTGTGTTATGTAGGCTACTATACTGAGAGCCTTTAAAAAAAGTCTAAGATGGTAGATCTGTTGCACTAAGAATTTAGTTTATTGTTTATGTTTTGCATATTAATGTATTGTGCCACAGTAATATTACCATAATCTCCATAATTTAATATATAAGTGCTGATTACTATATATTTTTGCTGGTGTAAGGTATTTCTGGTGGCCTGTATTGCCCTTTAAACACCCTGTTCTCCGTGGTTTATGTCGCCCTCTTGTGGCTGATAATTGTCATCACAACAAGATTAGTCTGACAAACTGCTGCCGTGGAGGAGAACATGTTTTTGTGTGTGTATTTATTATAATAGCAAAATGTGTTAGTAATAGTGTGAGTAAATAATAAATAATATTACCAGTAGTATTAAACTCTTCTACCCTTCCTGTAGACTCTGTATACCGACTACGAACGAAAGCGGAACCCTTGTCGTCGCTTCATAATATGAACGGAGTCCTTACAGTGTAACACGCTGTCAAAACGTAAAGCAACAGCAGATAAGTGAACCTTTTTTTTGGTGAAAACTTTCAATATCTATATCCACAAGGGGAACAATCAGGTAATCGGTTTTTAGTCCTTGTAAATGAAAGAAAGTCGGTTTGTTTTGGTGTCGGGGCGCGTTGTGCAGGTATAAAGGAGGAGATAAAGGCTAAACATGCTAAATGTTGGCTCATTCAGTAAATGCACACTTTCACTAGTTAGTAGCTGATGCTATGTGGAGCTAGTTGACGGTATTCCGTTAAGTTTTCTGTGTTCTTTAGACTCCAGTTCATCAGCCGTCTCTGCTAAATATTTACGGACATCTTTAGGGCTGACAAATGATTCATAAATGATCTTGTAATGAGCTTTTTGACATGTGTGGTGCATTTGAAACCAATATGACTGATACATGTTTTCGTTCATGGTTGTTTTCTTCAGAGGTCAACTCGAACTTATTCTTCTACTTTTTGTTTGTTGACTGTGTTTCTGTGCAGATTCAACAGATCAGATCCATCTCGCGTCCCTGTTGACAAACATTATTACTGGTATGGATGGCATGGTGATGGAGGAGGAGGATGATTGCCCAGAGTTGGTGCCCATTGACAGCCCACCTGGTCCTCCTGCAGAGCAGATACCTGTCACCATCATAACAGGCTACCTCGGTGAGAGACCTTCTGTATTACACACAGCTTTAAGGAGCTTGTAAAAGAGATTATAGTCTTAGACATTTGTCAGTCCATCACTACAACTAAATCCTGTTCTGGTCCTGGATCAGCGACCAGGGTTTACGTCATGAGTGTCAGAAAAATGGCAGCTATTGATGCTGTACCTCATGATCAATTTGCTTTTATGTGTGTTTGTTTCTTTATAGGTGCAGGAAAGACTACCCTCCTGAACTATATCTTAACAGAACAACACAACAAGCGGATTGCTGTCATACTTAATGAATTTGGAGAAGGTAAACTAACAAATGTAACAAAAAAAAAAAGGTTGTAGTTTCAACTGATTTTGTTCTGGCCAAACAAAGATGCTCTAGAAACTGTTATGTACTATAAACTTGAGGCCAGGCTGATGGTGTCTCCCTGTGTATTTCCTCGGCTTTACACAAGAGAGCAGCAGAGTAACAACTTTGCTGAGAACTGAAAGAAGCTCATAAATTAGTTCTTTTTACTGTGTCCAGACTTTCTGGTACAGCAACGTGTGTCATATTTTTATTTTCTGTCATCTTTTATTATAGTATTATTACTTTAAATTCATATTGAATTAGGCTGATTTGGCCTGTTTTCTTTTTTGTTTGACTTTGTTCAAGTGGTCTAAAAACCTCTTATCTTTGGCTTTTTGAAATCTGTATTTATCTTTAAAATTATATAGCAATAGGGCATCTTTGTTAAAAAATTGCTCAGTCTTTATCAGTTAATCTTATCCTTACTCATCCTCTTCATGCAGGCAGCGCCCTTGAGAAGTCCCTCGCAGTGAGCCATGCAGGAGAGCTGTATGAGGAGTGGCTGGAATTGAGAAACGGTTGCCTCTGCTGCTCTGTGAAGTATGTATGTGACTGCAGCACATTTAGTGTTACAGTGTTAATTAAAACAGAAATGAAAGGTTTTAACTTGTTGCTTTAGGTCGTACAGTTTAAATTCTTCAGCTAGTGTTTCTCCTTTTACATACATGTATGAACTACTGTGGTAATGAAGGGTACAAGTACAGTTTATTTGACTGAGGTATAAGTATGACTAGAGTTCACTGGGCTGACAAGACAACACATTCTTGCTTCATATTGTACGCATTGTACTATTTTACTGTGAATTAGACGATGTTCTGCATACGCCATTTTTATAGTGGCTGTTCCTTCATTTTTCAGGGACAACGGTCTTAAAGCCATCGAGAACCTGATGGAGAAGAAAGGAAAGTTTGACTACATCCTGTTAGAAACCACAGGACTCGCTGATCCAGGTATCACACATTTTTTTAAAGTTGAAAGATTAGCTATCATCTGTATCTATCTGTATTTGATTAGACCATTGTTTTTTCAAGCTCTGGTATGAGGAGCACATGACACAGAAATTTGACAGTCAGCAGCATTAGTTTCATACAAGAAATAACCAAATTGATATCATCGTGTGGTTGGTTATCTTATAGTTTGAATATTCCAACAGTATAAAATAAATAGCAATCAATAGTGTTAAACTAGCTCAAAGTGGTATAATATCGCAATGATTATGTTACTTTTATAGGTTAAGGTACCAACACCACTGCAGAGTAATAAAATACCATGTAAAGATAAAGCTATGTCTGGCTGCTTTTGCATAGTACAGCACAGCGGTCTTCGAATCCTTCACATCACATTGCCAACCCGTCCCAAACAGACTTTTTTGAATGGGCTCCATAGATGTCTATAAACAATCAGCAGCTGTAAGCTATGTTAGAGTTTACTTGTCAAATGTCCACACTTAATATTACCACTGTCTCTACTTATATATCTTTTTATGTTCTCTGAGAACGGTTAAGATAAGATTAGATAAGACAAGATGTACCTTTATTGATTCCCCCGGAGGAGAAATTCAAATTAGACACAGCAGCACAGGGGAATGTAGTGCAAAGAGTACAGAAGTGCAATAAGAATCACAAAATAAGAATATTACAAAATCTAACAGAAAATATAGACTAAATGAAAAATATATACACTATGTGCAATATGCAAGTAAACAGTCTGCAAAATATTTTGAGCAACTTTGACTAAAAAATTAAAAAATATTTGGCATTCCTGGCACAGTATTTAGGGATGACATATGAATTAAGCAATGCCATAAAGCCCCTCTTCTCTCTTAATGTGTGTAAATAATGGTTAGAGATGATCACAAGTTAAACATTTTGAAACTCTGAGGACCAGACTTATGTTTCTGTGACAGAAGCACCCATGGAGCCTTTTTCCATCAGCGGCAGCTAAAAAAAAACAAAAACCTAGGCGTCCGTTCATCTCTCAGCTTTGAATCAGGAAATCAATATTAGGCCATTACAGGGCGAGCACTGTGACAACTGGGGTGTGTCGCTAAGTGACAGGTGTCAGGAGGTAGCGGCATGGGCAGACACACACCACTTGGCCTCACAGACAGAACCAGCAGAGCATGCTCAGGCTAGGGCTGTCCTCACTCCTCTGCCATGTTATTGGCTGAGACAGGCTTTTTATCGACTAGGACAGGTCTGTCATTGGCCCTGGCAGTGCTGTCAATCATAAAGGCTCCTGGGGGGATTCTGCTCTTCCGTTCAGAGAAGAGGTTGGATGAGTTATGTGAAACATGCCAATCAAAAGCAGTGTTTTCATTACGCATCTATCAAATATTTACAATGCTTTCTTATTCTCGCTTGGCAGTTTGACAAAAGTGCATTATGTGAACAAGCTGTGGCTGGCATGGTAACATAGGGTCTTGTAATAACCGCATCCACAGGAAAATAGAAACAAACCAAATGTACCAGCAGGTGATAAACAATTGAAAGCTTCTGATATTGGTTTCATCTGCTCCACAGAGCTCAGCCCAAAAACATGCACCATTTCTGAAAATAGTGCAACTTTAAACACCAAAACTTAAGATCTGGATATTATTGAATAAAGTTAATGAATTTAATGCTGAAATTATTCATTTTAGAAAATAAATCTACAACAATTTTAATAATTCATTATATTATCTTAGGTCACTTAAAACTCAAATGTGATGAGTTGCTGCTTTCCTCTGTTTTATATTATTGTAAATTACCCATGGGTTTTGTATTGTTGGTCTTAAAGTCATTTTAAGGTGTTACCTTGCACTTGGGACATTGTTATGGCCATATTTTCTGGCATCTTAAAAACATTAGTTACATTCCTAAATTTTTTTGAATACTGTTTTTAACGTGTTAGTAATTTGATATTCTGTAGTTAGGTATTGCTCTTAAATTTCCAAAAAAACATTGTGTAAATTGTAGATGGGCTTGACATATTTCCAGTAGCTGAAATCCATTTAGCATAATCACAGTAATCCCTGTGTAACATGGCAGAGGACTGCATTTTGATATTTGGCTTTTTTCTATTATTTTGAAGGCCTTATGTAAAGAAATCTGAAGTTTATTGAGTAATTTAATAAAAAATAAAAGACAAAAAGGAAAGATGTGGCCTCTATTTACTTGTGGGAAGAACTTTCCTTGCCTGAAAATTTGAAAACTTTTGGATTTGTATGTATGTGGTTATTTGCAATCTGACATTCAAATTCCTATCCTCTGGCAGGAGCTGTGGCCTCCATGTTCTGGGTCGATGCGGAGCTCGGCAGTGACATCTATTTGGATGGTAAGATATTTGTGTGTATGTGTGTGTTTGCATGAATGGCGTCTCGCTCCTCACTAAATACTCAGCTGTCTGCTCTGTTGTGACAGGCTAGCAGACCAAAAGTGTACTTCAGATAACTCGGAGAAAGTGGTTTAGACAAACGGACAAAACTAAACACCAAAAGGCAACCGCAATTCACTAAAGAATGTGCACAAGCTGTGGCACTACATCCGATTCACTGATCACTGTTACTTTGTTCTTCCTGTAGGCATTGTCACTGTCATCGACGCCAAGTATGGACTGCAGGTATGTGCGAAGAAGATTTTGATGAAGCTACTTATTTTTAGAATATTTTGTTTATTGCTCAAATGAATCAACAGAAAAACAAACAAAAAAAATTGAGAGTTGATTAATTATTGAAGACATTTATCAAAATTACTATTTTATACAAATAGTTGCCAGTTAATTTTCTGTCAATCGAATAATTGATTAATCAACTAATCATTTCAGCTGTACTGTATAAACTGTTGGGTAGTTTAAGATAGATAGATAGATAGATAGATAGATAGATAGATAGATAGATAGATAGATAGATAGATAGATAGATAGCCAGGTACATTTAAATACAATAGAATAAAATAGAATAAAAATGTATAACAAAACATCCTATTTTATAAGCTCTATGTAGGTTTTGTTGTAAAAAAAAATGTTGTGTAAAGTAACTTGTGCTGTCAGATAAATGTAGTGGAGTAGAAATTTAAAAAAAAAGGAAAAAAATACTTAAGTAAAGTACAAGTACCTCAGAATTCTACTTGAGTAAATGGGCTTGCTGTGGCAGAACTACTTTTCTCATTTTTTTTGTCTGTAAATAAAATATCCTTGTCCTCTGGGCTGTTGGCTGAACAAAACAAGCAAACTTTTCCCTAATCATCTTGTTGCCAAACTTTAAAGTATCAGCAGTATTTACTTCTAAGCAGTCACTGTCAAATAAATTGTGCTTTTTTTTTTATTTTACCTCCAAAATAAGCTGTTAAACTTGTGAGATTGTTCGTAAAAAAAAACAACCTTGGGCCTAGCAACACACAAACACAAACACACACACACACACACACACACACACACACACACACACACACACACACACACACACATCCTGTTCTCCCTGTGGTATTTAATAGGAACAGGACAAGTGACACCTTGATAATGGGCTCTGATTTGAAGGTGTCATGCCCAGTGAGGTGACACATTTCATGGTTTAGGTGCTGCTCTGGCTTCTCATTGGAGAGGGGCAAGATGAAGGAAATAATGACAGAGAGAAGGAGAAGATAACTGATAGTGAAGGAGTAATTGATATCAGAGATGTGACCATTGTAATAGGACTGTCACATCCACTCACCTGCCTTTCCCCTCATCTGCCCCGTAAAATATCCGTCTGTCTGAGGGGTTTCCAGTTAACTCGAGCCCTTGGCTTGAAAGGCCTTTGTCTCTTGGTATAGAGGTTGCTGAGTAAAAAACAGCGAGTGGCCATTCTATTAAGTTATTTTTAATACATCTTTGTCATTCATTCCTTCAGAAATGAAGGAGGGGTGATGCACGCAGTGACAGATTAACGTCAGATTGACACTCAGGGGTCAGCATCCAGATTAACACCGCCTGCCTTCCCTGTTATTACATATTAAACTGTTTTGGAAAACCCTGGTACGAACACAAGACACAAGCAGAAAATGAAATGTGATCTCCTGTGGTTTCATGCGATGAGAAAGTCACTTAGTTCACAAAGATGAAACACAGGCCTTTCTTTTACCAATTTACCTGTCACATTTTGTGTTGGCTGCTGCAAACATTTGCTGATATTTTTAGTTTTTTCAAGAATGTGCTTAAAGTTGGAAAGCTATAGGGTCAGCTTGAGCAGTTTTGCAATTTTAAATCCTTTTTGTTTTTCCTATTTTATTTTCTGGTTGCAGTATGTAAATTATGTCCACTATCTTTCTGTAGCAATTAACAGAGGAAAAAGCAGATGGACTCATCAATGAGGCTGCCAGGTATGTTTGCTGTAGTTTTATTTGACAATTTGGGAAATACACTGATCATTTTACACTATTTTACAGATTAAACAAACAAGACACTGTTAATTTGTGAGCTCTAGAGATGCTTGTAGCTGGGTTTTGTTACCTTTGGACAGAGCCAGTCTAGCTGTTTCCCCCTGTTTCCACTGTTTGTGCTAAGCTTTATATTCACCATACAGACATGAGTGTGTTTCCCAAAGTGCCAAACTTTTTCTTTAAGACAAAACAAACCACTCAGTATCCACCACACTAGACCTCGTAACATGCTGTTGACCATATTCTTGCCACCCGCCTGTCTGTCTCCCTCGGCGTCTCTCTGTTTGTCTCTTCCAGCAGCTGTGTGGTTGTTGTTGTTGAACAAATACACTGATGAAGAAAGACCAGTTGCATGACCCTTTGCATTCTTGGTCTTTGTTTGTGTTTTCACCTCCAAGCTAAACGGCGCTCAGCTCCCATTTGAGTTTGGCACGTATTGCCCGCCGCCACCCACAAAAACTCACACGCATGTACACAGTTTGTAAATGAGAGTTTTACAATAAAGATCGCAAACACGCAACTTTACTTGATACAAGATGCAACAAGCCAGTGACTACCTGATGTAGCTGATTTAGTGTGTTTACGCATGATCTTCATTTTGTGCGATTCTTGGTGCAAATACTTGTCTCTGTTGTTGGTTTTGGCAAAATTGTGTCCTTGTGTATGTAATGTCTTTTTAGGCAGATTGCTGTCGCTGACCTGACCATAATCAACAAGACAGACCTTGTGAATGAGACTGAACTCACTCAAATCCGAGACGCGGTCAGGTTAGCCTTACATACTTTTACTTCCTATCATCTTCCTTTTTCTAGTAGTATTCTGGTATTTTCATCATTGTTCTTATTATTGAGCTCCTCGTTTAACTTTGGGGGGAAAAAAGTACACTTGGCTTCCTTTTGTTAGGTCAAAAGAAACAGTTGTAGGAATGAGTATTGACATTTTTTTATTTCGCCACTTCAGGTCTGTAAATGGTCTTGTCAAGATTCTAGAAACCCAGAAGTCAAGGTAAGTTTATTTTTTTTGTATATCTAGCTTTGTATCAGGTTCCCTGCTTTGCTTAGTGTAACAGATGAACTCCACGTGCTGCTCCTGCTCAGATCTTTATATCAAAGATGAAGCCGTTCAGGAGAAACCCCCAACACACACACACACACACACATACACAAACTGCTGCACCCTGAGTAAACACCACCACCCTCAATGGTGTCCAGTTACCCAGAAGTCTTTGCTCTTCGACCCTGGGTCTTCAAGCCGACATGGTTGCATATGTGTGAATGTGCGTGCGTGCAAATATGTGTGTATATGCACCCTCTGTGTTAGCATGTTATTGGACCCAGGTAGCATCTGGCTAACACAAGCAATGTGTATCAAAGGTTTGGGTGTGTTTTAGATCTGCCCCCCCCGCCCCCCACCAACAGAGTTCAGGTCAGGGTGAACAGATGAAAGACACCGTGCAGCGAGGGGTTAATCGGAAAAACAGCCCCACAACTTTCATTTCAGTCGGTTACCCTTAATGTTAGTTTTAGCCAACTTGTGGCAAAAGCTGAAATTGTAATTGATTTATCCTTGATTTATTACCCACTAAGGTGAAGTTGGATTTTAAATTAAAGGTCTATTGTGTAACATTTAGGAGAATATATTGGCAGAAAAGGAATATAATATGCATCACAATTAAAAAAATAAGAGTTGTTGTGTTTTTGTTACCTTAGAAGGAGCCGTTTTTGTCTAGACAGGCCGTGGGTTGCCTTCCATGGAGGCCGCCATGTTGAACCGCCATGTAGCTCAGAGTGGACAAACCAAACACTGGCTCTAGATAAGGCCGTCCGTGTTTTTTTCGCGGGTTTCGCAGTTGAAGTGAAGGGATGAATCTGCAACTACAACGCTAGATGCCTCTAAATCCTACACATTGGTACATCCTACACATCTGTAAACTGTAATAATAATCAATAATCATCTTCCACAGGGTGGATCTCTCTGAAGTGCTGGATCTGCATTCCTTTGACAGTAAGGATGGAGCAAAGTGAGTTGATTTTGTCCCATTTAATTTTCATGTACACAAAATGTATTCATTTAGGAAAAAAATCAAGAAACTTAATTTTGAAAGCCTAATACCAATACTGATATTTGACTGTTTTAATGTAGTAACTATATATCAGCTGATATTTGTCACATAAACATTGTGACCAAAAAGTGGAACATTTAACAGATGAAGAATAAACCTGTCAATGCTCTCTGGCAGATAAATGAGTTACTGTAATGGCGACACTGTTTCTAAATTAAATACTACAAATTACAACATATTTCTTTAAAAAAGCAAGAAGCGTTTTTACTGACGCAGGCTGTAAATGCAGCCACACAAATGGAAAAATGACCCTGACAGAATTGCAAGATGCAGCACCGCTCAGCCCATCACAACATAGTTTAAGTAAATACACATGTAATACAAGTGACGGATACTTTTGTGCAACAATCGAGAGTTTATAACCCTTTACAAGGTTATATTACTTGATATTCTTATTTTTTCTATTATTGAGTGATATACTGTATTCAACATTTCTGATATGGGAACTCTTGATGTGTGACAGGACGTACAGGATGTTTCACAGCTCAAAGTTCTCTAGTGGACAAACTATGTCATGGCGATACTCCTTGAACATATTTTTGGCATTTCTTCACTTCAATTTCTACTGTATCTGCTGATACTAATACGTCTACTGATAATATTGGCCATCTCCAATGTATAGTACCTACATTTACAGTAAAAGATCAAGAACTTATTTTGTTGCTAGTCCGTCTGAACTGCGCATCCATCGGTCTTTGATACTGTTGTTCACCGTGTTTCTCTCTAATTAACAGACTCTTTTATTGAGCGTCCCCCTGTTACACCGCAGGGTGGTCATCATATTGTATCCCCAGTAGAATGTCATTCTCATGAATAGAGTCAGTGTTCATCCTTTCATGTGAATGAAACGGGCCGCGGTGTTAAAGCTCTCTTACATGCCCTCAGTCAGTGTTTCTGAGACCAGCTGCAGAGGATTAGAGCTGTGTGTGTCCACTGGCTCCCGAGGAGTTCCCCTTGTCCCAACAGATAGCTCCTTTCCCCCTGCCTTTGAGAGTCCAAGCCCCTCCTCCCGTCCATCCCACGCTAGCTGTTTGAAGCGGCCCCCCGCCGCTCCGCCTGTGTGGTACTAACAGCACGCGGGGCTCAAGCTGCTGGACACAACATTTAGCCTCCTTGTGAGGTCAGGGAGAAGGGGGAGGATGAGGAGGTCTGATGGGGAGAACAAGGGCTGAAGTTTGTTTGGAGGTGCTGGTGGGTGTTTTGTAGGATTTAATTGCCTTTCCTAAAGTTTTCACAAGTCCATTCAGAGTTGTGTCATTAAGCACTGATACAGCATGTTATACCGTGAGACAGAACACAAAGGGGAAAACTGTATCCTCCTGTCTCTATAAGCAGAGAAGAGAACGAAATAAAAAAATCTCAAGTACATTTGTTGCTTCAGATGGTCATTTTATTGAACCTCTATTTAACCAGGAAAGCCTCATTGAAGTTTCTTTGAGATTAAAACACAATTTTTCACAATAGACAGAAATAGCAATCAGTTATGGTTAAAACTGCATAAGATTAAAAAAACAAAATATGCTATAAATCAGAATTAAACAGAAATCCAATTATGAATCATGAGTAAAACAGTCCATACATACAATCATGTAAAATATTTGATCAGAGAAACAACTTAAATGGCAGCTTAAAACAATGGTTTGCTACTTTTTGGCTTTTGAGCCTAAAACATAAAACAAGATCTGCTTGCAAAACCTCATACGTAGACGTATGTCTTCTGTCTGTGACCAGTTCAATCAAAAACATGTCCCCCCTCCTTGTTTCATGGTTTAGTGTCCTAAAGAAATAAAATTATGCAGCAATTTACAAAAAAAAGGGGCTTAATGTTCAGAAACGGTGTTAAACAACCCAAGTGTTCTCTAAAACCGAATAACTAATCCTAAACAATCACTTAATGATTCTAAAATACCACAAAATGTCAGCAGCCAGAAGAGAAAGCACACGCACATATTTAAATTCACAAAATAATGTTTACAAAAACATTTTTTTCTTTTTATTGACACAAGATGTAAATGCATCTCCAGAAATTCTAAAAATTACATAAAATCTCATCCCCATGTAGCTCTGATCAATACATCCTGACACAAGGTGCAAAAAATAGCCATGTAGGACAGCTGACAGATTCCTTTGTTGAATCATTTTTAAATAAAATATAATTTGAATTAATTTAGTTAAGGTAGTAAATGTAACATGGTTATCTTTTCAGCCTTTTTAAGCAGACATGAGTCTTTTATGTTGGATGAAACTGGAAAAAAAAGTTGTTTAATCATATCTCTCCTTTGAAAGTCTTGCAGAGAAGCTCCAACTTGTGAAATCTACAAGACCACATCTTGACAAGGTATTGTTTGTATGCTGAGACACTGTCTCATATATATTCTTTTATTCCTTAACTGCAGATACTCACGCAGTATGCCTCTCAAAGTTTTCCCTGTTTTTTTTGCTAATTTATTTCAGCACATAATTTCCTACAGGATAAAGGGTTGCATTCTCCTCAGGCTAACATTGTGCCTCGCATTCCCCTAGGCTGTGACACTGTAGTGAAAACTCCCTCCCTGCTTTGGTTTTTGTGTGGAGATCAACTTGAGGCTTTTGATGTTTTCTTGTTACACTACAAATAGACCCAGTCTCGGTCATACACAGCAGCATAAACATTCAGTAGACTGGGCACACTGTGATGGCTAGACTGACTAGAGTCTTGGCTACTTGTTATGGCTTTACAGCTGTTTTAACTTAATCCAGATGTCATAAAATATAGTATACAGACTCTGTATTTCACTATTTGATTAGCAACTGAATATCAAATATGAATGGGAATTATTTAGTGTACCCTTTTAAAAGAAAACATACAGCATATCCCCAATATCCAAACATCATCTAAGTCCAGTTCTTTTCAGTGAAGCTGTAAATTATTAAAAATATTTATTCCAGCATTAGTCTCATCGCATTTCTTTTTATGTTTTCAGGCTTTAGACCAAATGACTCCCCACAGCAATTAGGCCTCATCTTGTTTTCAGTTACGCTTTATACCCATGAACTTTTATCACAGGATGAGGAGAGATGAGGGTTGTTTGTGTGGGTAAATAACGGCATTGTTGTCTGTTTTCTCCAGGTTCCCTTTCCCGCATGAAGCTCAACTGTCCCTCAGACCCTCCCCCTTTTCCCCCCCCTCCTCTTCCCCATGTTGCTCTTTTCATGTAAATGAGAATGCTGTTTTTCTGTTGTTATACCAAATGACAAGGAAGTGTGTACCCTTAACACTTCACCACAAAAACCCCAAATATCTACAAAGTGGCCTTTTAATGCTGTAAGGAAGTATGAAGAGGAGGGAGTGTATGTGTGTGTGAGAGAGAAGAAGAGCGAGAGAGAGACAGAGAGAGAGAGAGAGGGGCCGGGGGGGTGCCATTACTGGGTTTCAGGTGCCGAGTGGAGTTGTGTTTTTTGACACGGTCATTGACAAAGTCATCAGCTGGGGCGTAAAAACTCTTCTTTTGTTTAACGTTAATGACTTTTCTGGTTTCAGTGACCTTAAAACATGCGTTAGATTGTATTTTACATGAAAAAACCTTTAAATGAGTGAAAGATCAGTCAACACTAAGTCTTATTGTCAATAATGGCCTGAAAATATACATCTCAAAACATAAATGCAGCAATGGAATGTACCTACGTACACTCACTTAACCATCTACTGAATTGAAGTACTTGTACTTTACTTAGTTTTTCCATTTTATACCACTATACATATTAGTTTTTTAAACATATATGTAGTAGCATAAAATGGAAACACTCAAGTGAAGTACAAGTCCCTTAAATTGTACTTAAATAGTGTGTGTCTGTGTGAATATAAGGCTCAACTGGCTTGATTATCTGTATTTTAGTGAGTAGAAAATGTTGAAACATACTGAAATTAAAAGCCACAAAAATAAAAATAAATATTATTAAATATTATTACTATCACATATTGCTAACACTTCCATACTGTATTTCATGTCTTCCTCAGAGTATTTTAACTGTGACATTTGAAGTGGCTGGAGATCTCCCTGAGGATGCCTTGAATGTCTTCATCCAGGTACATTCACTGCATCATTCAGACCCTCCAGTTTGTATCCCTGTTTCCATTACTAATTAGCACTAAAATAATACAGTCCTTTGTAAGGTAAACACCCATTTGCCACCGTTTCAGGATCTGCTATGGGAAAAGATGTTCAAAAACAAAGAAGGGCAACCTATGACTGTCATTCGTTTAAAGGTACAGTAAAGCACAATAGTCACCCCAGTGGCACCAGTGATCAATAAATGCTGCTTTATTATCTGTATTAATCAGTTTCAAATGCTTCATTCAGCGTCTGTTAATGTGTCACTCGTGACTTGTGACTTGTGTGTTTTTGTGTGTTTTCAGGGCATAGTATCATTTGCAGGTAAAGCCCACCAAGTGATGCTGCAGGGGGTCCATGAGTTGTATGACCTGAATGAGACTCCACAGCTTTGGGAGGAGAACCCGCGGATCAACCGACTGGTCTTTATAGGTGAAGACACACACACCTCTTGCATTTCAATTGCAGGAAACTGATCAAAATGACTCTTCTATTAATTATTAAAGTATGTGCTTATTTAAGTATGTGCTTAGGTTTGTTTGATGGAGGTAGTACAAAAACTTGTTACACAGTTTAGCAGTTTTCTGATTCCATAAGTTCTTAGCTGTAAACCTGCATTATAGTTTTGGGTAACGCTTTATTTTAACAGTTCACAATTTTCTAACAATTTTCTTAAGATTCCTAGGAAAAAAGTATGTAGTTTGGTACAAATTATTTTGGAAAACATAAATGAGTAATGAGTAACAAATTAATATTTCTTTGGGTCTCAATTTAGCTTTTCTTTCCAGGGAGATTCTCTGAAAATCAAAAACTGCTAGGAAATTACAGACCTGGCTAGACCTGACCTTGAGAACCACTGTCCTCTATAATACATAACACATACCATGTCTATGAGTGTGTGTAGCCGTGCTGTGTTGATGCTCATGTTTGTCTCTACTCTGTTCTGCAGGTAGGAATCTGGACAAGGACATTCTGCGGGAACAGTTCATCTCTTCAGTGGTGCAAGGAACAGAGGAAAAATAGTCACAAGTCTCCTCTTTGCATTGAAAACTGTTTATTCTGGAGCAAAAGCTGTGACTTTGGCCATCCATAAATCTGAGACTGTTTCAGACGTTCACTCCTTACCTACAAAAACATGAGGTACGTCAGAGGATGGTTAAGGTTACTGTAGTGATCAATACAGTAGTTTTAAATTGTGATAACCCATCACTACCTGCTTTAAAAAGCTACAGTAAATCAAAGAGTGTTTATGTTGCTGTAGTGCCTCAGCTGAATGCCGTGTGTCACCCTGGAAATGTATCCTGAATACGACCTCTGAAATTTGTGCACACGTAAACAAAAGCCAGAATTTTAATCAGTACATTGTATTTTTAATAAAGATGGCTTTGTAAAAATCTGCAATTCTTGAAGGTTAGGAAACCAAGTAGTATTGGAAAGTGACACACATACTGTATCAAGTGTGGTACTTTGTAAATTAAGTAACATTGCTTATGTTTCTGGCTTTTAACACCCTTTTTGTTTGTTTTTTAAATTATTCAAAATAAAGTGTTTTTCCTGAACATCTATGACTGTTCTGATATACCAAAAACAAAATAATCTTTTTAACCATGAGTAAAAATGGCTGGTTCAAGAAGACAACGGCAGACTATTAACATAACAACAGAGACAAAGTGCCTTTGTGTGGAGTGGTAAGTTCACTATGATACTCAACAAAGTGTGAAAAATGCCTCCAATAGCATTAACATTTTAACTTTTATTGTTATGAAACACATACAAAAAGTTGTTAACTTTTCCATCAGTCAGCCGGCCATGATTATAATAAAGGGTTTCACAAGTGTGATAACTCAAATATTATAGGTATGAAGTAATATTTTACAATGAGTTTCCCTTGAAAATGCTCTAATCATTATTATAAACATTATGTTAGTGCCATGCAAACCTGTATTATTTTGATCTACAGATCCAACATCTAAACTAGGTGAAACAGTTGTTACTGGGTTTGTGAATACTTAAGAATGTTTTTCTTTGAATTAGGCACTGACTCTCTGTCATATTTTTCCTCAAAATACTGACTTTTGGGGAGATTATTCTCCAGATATATGGCAACAATACAGTTATTTCACATCACTGGCTTTAAATGGCATTTAAGTCTACATGTTTTTTCTGCTGTATACACTCTGCACCTGCAACGACATATTACAGCTCCTCTATTTTCTGGTATTTGTTACTTAAACCTTGATTGGTACAGTCATGTGAGAACCATCTCTCTTTCTCACATGCACACACACAGTAGACCCAGTCAGGTGACGAAATAGGTGGAGTTTTCACAACTTGGTCATTTGCAATGGAGATAGTTTAGCAGCACGGTTTTAACACATATCCGCTGTTGGACCGGTTTGCTTTGAGGATGGCTCTGCTTATTCATCCCGGTCGTAAAGCCGAGCTGAGCCCTGCAGCCCAGGGCGCACCGTGCAGCTGAGCCGTTTCCTACTCGATTCTGATGCTGATGGCCTCGTTAAGGCGACTATTACCTCTTTTCTCTGCTGGCTGCGGGAAGTCCAACCACGGCCATTTTCATGGTCACACCACCCGCGGGCATCCAAAGGTGGCAAACTAAACGAACCCGCGGGGGTTTGAAGGGGGAAACACTTTGTTTCTTATCACGGGCTAGGCGTGGTGTTAAAAGTCCCAAGAACATCCCACCTCCTACTGCGCTGCTGTACGTATTTGTAATATCAGATGATTCAAATATCAAGATTCAACTTTTGCTAACATGTGCACATGTCTGACAACAGAACGCAGGCTGTCATACATGTGTGTGTACATAGGTTGCACATCAACCATTATGAATGTGTTCACGGTGTATGCTGCAGGAGTGCAAAAAGTGATGAGCCAAAATAACATTACATATCATTTCGGTCATGTGTAGAACCTAAACTCATCACAGAATGTCTTAATACAAAGATATGTAAGCTTTGAAGCAGTAAGCTTTCAGATCTTCTGTCTTATTTTGTTTTATATGATAAAAATGTTGTGCTGGCACTCACTCTGTTTGGCAATTGAAATTAAATGCCAAAAACGTTTCCATTTTTGCCAAAATAACGACAAAGTGCCATCTATAAATTGGGCTTTATTTGTAGGAATAGGCCGTTCGCACTTCAGGACTCCCCAAACCCCCCCACCTGTGTGCTTGCCTTTTCTGGCTCCCCGCGGTGAGGGGCCACTCTGATAGGTCCAGAGGGTTAATGGGACTGGCCTTTAGGGCAGCAGCCTCTCAGCATATAAAGCCTCAGCTTTCATTACAACAGCAAACAGCCGGTACACACGGTTTAAGAAGGACCACGCGGTAGATGAGCTTTTACGCATGAATAGGGGCCTTTTGGTTTTTACGCACTGCGAACCATTGATGTCTCGTTGGCACAGTTGAGTTTTTACGCGTTTTTGAACATTCTGCGTGTGACCATGACTCTTTCCAGTGAATTTGAAGCTTCTCAACACTCTGCTTTGCCTCTTGACATAGTGAGCGAGGATGAGCCTACCCATGGGCGTTTATATGAGAATGGGTGCTCTACGGACCCCGGCTCTTCGGCAGAATCTGGTGCTGAGTTTGACTCCTCAGAGCCAGACTCCTCGGGGGAAAGCGAGAACAGTTTCTGCGCAGACGCACCGTCGTCCAGGAAAGCGCAGAACAGTTCTGTTAAGCCTCCCTACTCCTACATTGCCCTGATCACCATGGCCATCCTGCAGAGTCCGCTGAAGAAGCTGACACTGAGTGGCATCTGTGACTTCATCAGCAACAAGTTTCCCTACTACAGAGACAAGTTCCCCGCTTGGCAGAACTCCATCAGGCACAACCTCTCCCTCAACGACTGTTTCATTAAGATCGCGAGGGAGCCTGGGAACCCGGGAAAAGGTAACTACTGGTCTCTGGACCCTGCCTCAGAGGACATGTTCGACAACGGCAGCTTCCTTCGCCGAAGGAAGCGGTTCAAGAGAAACCACCCAGAGCTTGGCAAAGACGGACTTATGTTTTATTCCAACTTGAACTGCTACCGGCCGTATGGGCAGCCATACTGCGTGCAGGGCCAGGTGAGCCCCCCGCCCGCCGCTCCTATCCCGTACATGCCCCTGCAGGAGGGTATCATGATGCCCCCTTCTTCCTATCACCTTCTACCACAAACTCTGAACAGTCACGGGAAGTGCAGTGGGCCAAAAGACTTCAGAGCGCAGCTGTGCTCAACAGAAACCGCTCAGTCAAAGCCTGGCCCGCAGAGAAAGTGCTCCTTCAGCATTGACAGCATCATGAGCAAACCCTCGCCCACCAGTCTCCCGAACCCAAACCCACAGCACAGGCGCCACAGCGCTCTTGGGTACGCTCATCTCATGTCGGGCCCTGCTGCCTGTTTGGTTCCGACGCTCCTGCCGGCTCCCAGGACTCCATTCTGCCCCCCTACCATGCTGAGCACTGCTTCTTTAATAAATGAGCACCTCAGACTGTCCTACCCTCACTGCTGAAGCCTTTGGCCACAAGAAAACTTTACAGTGTCCGTATGTTCGATGCTATGTGAAGACACGTTGTGTAGCTCATTTCTTAAAGAAATGTTTTAATTGCATGATATTTATGTGCGTTGACATTCAAAGTTATGTCTTAAAAGAAATCAATGTAAATAAGATGAGTGGTAATATATGTGTGAAACTTGTTGCAGTGGCGACTCTCGTTGATGAATCTGTTTTTGTTATTAATTAACGTGTCGAAATAAATGTTTGAAAACTATCTGTGATGTTTGAAGCTCTTTATTTGGTTACTTGAATTAATTAATGCTGGTTTTTGTCCATTTTTCATCTTGACAATGATGCATCAGTTGTCTCAGGGTGCGGAACGTTTTTGAAATAGAAAGTTTAAACAGAAAGCAGACAGTTTAGAAAGTCATAGACTCCAAATTCACAGTATTTCACCATTATTATAGTTAATGTTTTTATTAATACAGACCTACATTCCCCCAGTCAGATATACCCTGCGCTGTTGTTTGTTAATAATAATAATTAAAGACTTTTTTAAAAAGTCGACCACTTCCTAATTCCCGGTTAAACACCGGTTTACAAACTTCTGGCTGTTATGATTATGTAATAATTGAGACAGAACAATGAAAAAACAAACTTAAAACAAATGTGCATAAATAAGAATGATGCCAGCTCAAAACTTAAGGTTGCAGAAGTCCCGGTTGCTATAATAATGAAACTGATGAAATAAATAATACCTTAATGATGTACTTATGTAAAAATGAACTATATTTATACACACTCTTTACAGATGTATGTCTCAGGGAAACATAAATGTGGGCCTGTCGCAACCACCACACTCCATTTCTAAAAATTAAGAACAAAACAAAAGTCCATGTTCCACACAAAATTAAATCAATTTTTAAATATCTGTTCCGTTTTAATGTAGTCCTACTTTATATTAGTTTTGTGGGATTTACATTATAAACGCTCTTTTTAATTTCTAATAAAACGTCAGTTCTTTCTTCCTGCCTCAAGGTCGCGCTGTTTACCAAATATTGGCTCAGACTGACGCAGACTTCTTGTGAGGGCCTCCCTCACTCCTGTAATGGGATGGCAAGCTAATAATTGCGGTGTCACAGATTCAATACATGTTTGCCTAAAAAAAAGTATATGTAGAGAGACCGCAGAAGAAAGTGAGATGTGGTACCGAAGATCCTGAAACAAATGTGGTTCAAATAAGAAAAAAACGTTACTATTAGGGAGTGAAGTTCTGCTTCATATCCCCACTTATAAACTCCTCTAGTTACTACAGCCCCCGGCTTATGCCTTCATACCGGGCAGTGGCGACAGCACAGACACAGGCAGTGTCCGGTTGCTGAGCGGTCCCGACACAATTCCCCTCTGCCATCAGTCAAAGGTCTATTTTTGGCCCGAGGCTCAGCTGATTGTGGGCCTTGAAGATTCTGGCCCTCCCTGATGTCTTTTTTTTTTTTTTTTTTTTTTTGAAGTCAGTTGTTCAGGCTTATTAGGAAAAGAGGGAGTTGTCTAACAGCAGCGGAGAGTTTTGCTGAATGTTAAGTTCAGCACTGAGGGATGCAGCTCTAACACAAGTGGCCGAGGTGAGGACATTTTGGGCTGGGTGTTTCCTTTCATTACAGTCACTTCATCCCAGTGTGGGGCGGCCACTCTTAACTTCACTTTACAGGCGGACAAGCTCCATCTCTGGGCTGTAAATTCGCCACATTACTGCTACTTTCACCTCTGTGGGACGGATACCACCAGAAGCAAACTTCCCAAACTATCTCAAGGTTATTTGATCCGCGTCCTCCCGTTGGGTCCCGACGAGGAGGATGGAGACGAGCCCCATCCCGGTGCTGACGGTCCAAACGGCCCCCTTTGAGGACCAGCGGCCTGGTACCAACGGGCTGCGGAGGAAGACAGCGGTGTTCGAGGGGAAGAAGAACTACCTGCAGAACTACATCCAGAGCGTGTTGTCCTCCATCGACCTGCGGGACCGACAGGGCTGCACCATGGTGGTGGGCAGCGACGGCCGCTACTTCAGCCGAGCTGCCACCGAGGTGATAGTGCAGATGGCAGCTGCCAATGGGGTAAGAAGGAGGGGGGGCGACAACCGGTCTTGGCAAACAGAGGCTGTCATGCATTTGTTCTATTATATCAATATATTGGAAACCCTTCTACCCATGCATAAGAGAAACAAACATTCATATACAGTGGTATTGTTACAAATAAACATTTATTACATTAATACCCAAAAGGTGAATCCAAGTGAGATTTTTGCTGCTTATCATTGGAAAACAAAGACTGTACTACATAAACTTACCAAGAATGAGTCTGTCTGTTTTACATACAAAAGTAATCACATGTCAGAAATAAGAGTGTGTCGCAAAAAAGAAAAACAAAAAACAATGTACTGTCGAACAAAATTAAGTTTTTTTGTTTGTTTTTTCTAATATTTGCCTTTTTCTTTCAAAATAGAGTATATTTTTTACACCAGGGCTTTATAACTATTAAAATAAAAGTCTGAGAAGTGAAAAAATTCCAATTAACTACTCACAGCTCACAAGAGCACCCAAGCTTTGTATTAAGGGGTCACAAGCAATAAAAGGCAGGCTGTATTGCTATGAACTAAGCAAGAACAGTGATTAGTATCCAACATATAATTTATTAGGCTGACACATTTACTCCCAGCAGAAATTGCTCCACTGCTTCCTAAAAAAAACATAGTAGGACTTTTCTGGCAGAATGTTAAATCAGTTTTATACTTGCGTTATGTATTCACATGTTGCAGAGTTGGTCCACATTTGTTTTGCATCAAATATGACATATCACGCTAAGAGCACGCAGTTACTCCTGAAACATAAAAGTTTCAGGAGTCAAGGTGAAAGTATTAATCTGCAGTATTAATACATACAAACCTGTCACCCATCCAAACTGTGTCTGAACTCTTTAAATGTCAGCAGCAGATAACTGAAAATAGGAAGACAGAGTGAGCGAGAGGAGGAAAATCCCCACAGTTCATTTAAAACGCTTGCTCTGAGATCCTTGTGATTGGTTTGGACAGGTTCCAAAGGAAAATCTGAAGGGAATATAATTTGTTTTTGAGATCGGTCCATTTTTTCTGCTCGCCAAGCCAAATGTCTCTTGATGTCGGCCTTATCAGCACTTCCATCCATCCTGCTCTATTTTCCTGCCTACGTATGTTCCCCCCTCTCTTGCTGTTCCACCTCTCCCGGGCCAAACACAATGGGGATCCCCTGTCATATTGCAGTGAACCAAGAGTCAGGATACTGGCAACACTTGCAGATAACCAATCCAATGCACAGACTATCCTTCTTACGCTAGTTACTGAATAAGATAGTGGTGGAATAACAGATTGCTTTATATATGATATTAGGTTATTATACATTTAGGCAAGAACATTTCTTAGGGTTTTCCCTCACTTTCCTTGTCTATTCTTCATATGCATGCAACAAACATGTCGGATGTTAGGAGGGTTCTCTGACATCAGGAGAATGAATTCCTCTCCAGTGAGGACACTTTTATTTAGAATAGCTGATATGCAAGGGAATTATGGGAAGCTGGTGGTATTACTGCTTTAAATGTAGCATACAAGTTATAAATAGAGATTTCAGCTCTGTTATTTAGGCACCCTCTTGGGTCAGATCATTTTCGCTGTTTAAAGCAGGCTGTCAATTAGACACCTGTGGAAGGATGAGATGCCTTGGACCAGTGTTGCTTTCAGTTCCAGTTAGAACGATTGGCTCATGAACTTTTTTGAGACCAGTGTTTTGTTTTGTTTTTTGATTTTGTGTCACAGCCAGCCCAAGAAATACTACCTGACATTATTTTCATCAAAGGCAGCTAGAACGCAGTCCCCCTAAACCTTCATCTTATGAGACAAGTTTACCAGAAAGCATTATTTTGGATTGATGTGCAGCTGACATTGCTCCTCATTAATATCTCTGCTGTGCAGATTGGTCGTCTGGTAATCGGCCACAATGGCCTCCTGTCCACCCCTGCTGTTTCCTGCATCATCAGGAAGATCAAGGCCATCGGTGGGATCATCCTCACAGCTAGTCACAACCCCGGAGGCCCCAGTGGAGACTTTGGAATCAAGTTTAATGTGGCAAATGGAGGTGAGGACTGACAAAAAAGAGTGCTTGTTTTCTGATTCTCCCACTTCCTTTTAACATCATTTGTAAAGTAAAGGAATGTTTTTTTTTTTTTACCAGACATAAATGACTGTAAGTTTACACATGCGTATGTCTTTGTTTGTGTGGTAGGCCCATCTCCGGACACGGTGATGGAGAGAATCCACCAGGTGAGCCGGACGCTCGAGGAGTATGCCATCTGCCCTGATCTGCGCATTGACCTGTCCAGGCTGGGAAGGCAAGAATTTGACCTGGAGAACAAGTTCAAACCTTTCAGAGGTACAATACTCACTCACTTGTCTGTCACCAATAAATGTATATTAAAACAAAATAGCCAACTCAAATAAGGCATCCTTCAGAAAGGGTATAATTTGTAAGTAGTGCCTTTATAAATGATTAATAATGTGTTTACTATTTTTTATAATTTATAAGCCAATAATTAGAAAGAATTGTCAGGTTGTTTAAAAGCTATTTGATTGGTCAAACAGTTTACTTGATGAACTAAAGAGTTAAAGGGATTTTTCACATCCTGGCAACCAAATGTTTTTCTTGTTAATGGATTAAAGCACATCTATAAAGAATTAGTAATTAATTTATTAACTTTTATAAAACCATTAGTTTCAGAGAAGTACATGCATGCTTTGTCAAAACATTTCTGCATAATCTGTTATGTCAAATTAGAAATCCCAATATTATAAATGAGGAAGAACAGTGGCTTGTTCTTAAGAGCATCCCTAGAAATAAATGAAGCATAGTCCATCAATACCTTTGGTTGTACATCTTTCCTATAAATAATCATTATTTATGCACACAATTGAATGCGCTGGAAGCATTTGCACAACCTTTCTATCTTTAATGCACAAATGCATACAAACAAACTCATTGCCATCTGGCACTAACCGTCTCTTCTCTGTGCTTCCAGTGGAGATCGTAGACTCTGTTGAGGTGTATCTACAACTGCTGCGAAACATCTTCGACTTCAATGCCATTAAAAGTCTTCTCACAGGCCAGGATCAAGTCAAGATTCACATAGATGCCATGAACGGAGGTAAGACAATTCATCACCTGCCTAATATAGCCCCTGAGTTGTTTTGAGTGT